TCTTCTTTAGTTTAATGTGGATTTAAATACGGAATAAATTCCAGGCTCCCATTCCTGGTGATTCCCATTGTGATATCCATGGAAACCTCAGGATGTGGAGAGAGGGATAAAATCTTGGGATTCCAAAGAGGAATCCAGGGAAAAAAATGAGGTTGGAATTGTGTCACAGCTGATAAGAGGGAGATTAATTCCTGATGGATGAAGGGTGATGTCAGGGGTTATTCTTGAAGGATCCCTTGGGGTTTATGACAGATCCCTTAGGAGTTATTCCAGAAGGATCCCTCAGGGTGTATTCCTGACAGATCCCTTGGGATTTGTTCCTGGCAGATCCCACAGGGCTTATTCCTGAAGGATCCCTTGGATTTTATTCCTGAAGGATCCCTCAGGGTTTATTCCTGGCAGATCCCTCAATATTTATTCCTGAAGGATCTCTCAGGGTTTATTCCTGAAGGATCCCTAGGGATTTATTCCTGAAGGATCCCTTGGATTTTATTCCTGAATGATCCCTCATGGTTTATTCCTGACAAATCCCTCAAGATTTATTCCTGACAGATCCCTTGGGATTTATTCCTGCCAGATATCTCATGGTTTGTTCCTAAAATCCCTCACGGTTCATTCCCAAAGGATCCCTCAGGGTTCATTTCTGGCAGATCCCTCAGGGTTCATTTCTGGCAGATCCCTCAGGGTTCATTCCTGTCAGATCCTTCAGGATTTATTTCTCTCAGATCCCTCAATCCCAATTCATTTTATTCCTGAAGGATCCCTCAAGGTTTATTCTTGCCAGATATCTCATGGTTTGTTCCTAAAATCCCTCACGGTTCATTCCCAAAGGATCCCTCAGGGTTCCTGGCAGATCCCTCAGGGTTTATTCCTGAAGGATCCCTCTATATTTATTCCTGATGGATCTCTTGGGGTTTATTCCTGACCAATCCTTCAGGATTTATTCCTGACAGATCCCTTGGGGTTCATTCCTGAGATCCTTCAGAGTTTATTCCTGACAAATCCCTCAGGCTTTATTCCTGATGGATCTCTCAGGGTTTATTCCTGACAAATCCTTCAGGATTTATTCCTGACAGATCCTTCAGGGTTCATTTCTGGCAGAACCCTCAATATTTATTCCTGAAGGGTCCCTCAGGGTTTACTCCTGAAGGATCTCTTGGATTTTATTCCTGAAGGATCCCTCAATATTTATTCCTGAAGGATCCCTCAATATTTATTCCTGGCAGATCCCTTGGGATTTATTCCCAACAGATCCCCTGGAATTCATTCCAAGCCCAGAGCTCTGGGAGTGTTTGGATCATGCTCTCAGGGTGGGATTCATTCCTGGTTTGTCCTGGCAGAATCAGGGCTTGGCCTCCCTGATCCTCGTGAATCCCTTCCCGCTCAGAATTCCAGGATTTTTCCCATGTAATTGTCCCTAATCCCGGTGTCCATGCAAAGCTGTGGAATTTCCCCCCATGGAGATCTGAGGGCTGCACTCAAAGCCTTTCCTGAGTCACTGACTGCTCTTTCCTTCTGTTTGCCCTTCCCTCAGTATTTTGGGAAATGGGAATATAGCTTTGAGGTAAGTTCAGCTGCAATCCCAGAGCCCCATCCCAACCCCTGGAATTCCAGCCGTGCCCTCRCTCTGCGCTTTCCCACAGCTGCTGCTCCAACATTCCAGAGCTTCCCGGACCCTCAGCCGGGCTGGGAATGTTCTCCTGGAGAAGGGAAGGATCCAGGGAGAACTCAGAGCCCCTTTTGGGGCCTGAAAGGGCTCCAGGAGAGCTGGAGAGGGACTGGGGCCAAGGGATGGAGGGACAGGAGCCAGGGAATGGGGTCACACTGCCAGAGGGCAGGGATGGGTGGGATATTGGGAATTGGGAATTGTTCCTGGGAGGGGCTGGGATGGAATTCCACCCCTGGATCCCTGGGAATGTCCAAGGCACCCTGGGACAATGAGAGGAACCTGGGAGTTTGGAACAGGATAATCCTCGATGTCCCTTCCAACCCAAATCACTTTTTCTGGGAAAATTTGTTTTTATTTTATCCTAATTTTCTTCCTATAATAAAATCATTCCCCGTGACCACTGTGGAAGTGGATCATGTTATCCTGGAAAACCTCAGTTCCTGAGGAATGTCCAAGCCCTTGGAGCACCCTGGGACAGTAGGAGGTGTCCCTGCCCTGGAATGGGATTGGATGAATGGGATTTAATGTCCTTCCATCCCAAACCATTCCATAAATCCACATAGCATCAAAACCCCGCTCAGATTCCCACAACCACATAAATCCCCGTGTGAGGAATCCCCACCCTCTGGATATTTAACATCCTGTGATCCCCCAGGAGAGAGAGAATTCCAAATCCCCCATTTGTGGATCTCTGCTGTCCCTG